GCGCGAGAGGCCTTGGAGAAAACGCAGCCCCCACCGAGGCACCAGGGAGCTTATTTGACGAAGGGACCCAGGACCCAAAAGCGCGTCCCCTTGTCCAGTTCGGCCAGCTGGCCCGACCCTGGTCGTAGCTGCCTTTGCGGTCAGTCCTTAAAACGGGGTAGCTGGGACCACGCTGCCACAGAGCGCGGCACGCGGTTACCGGGCAGGCGCTCGGGCCGTGTTTTCATGCCTTCCGCTCCAGGCCTGGAGAGAGAAAGCTCCGCGCTGAGGACTTTGGCCCCTTTGGCTGCGGCTGGGAGTGCTGCGCTTCACCTCCGCGAGCGTTAGCAGCAAGGGAGCTAGCAGAGAAAGGATCTTGGCTGGTATCCCTGATTCGGCGATACCTATTCCACGTTAAAACCCTAACAGCTTGCCCACACAAACTCTTTTGCCGTTCCGGCTGCCCGAGGAGATGAGACAAGTGTGGCGGTGGGAATCATCACTGTGGGGCTGAGGTCCCATCGGGTTTTTTCAGTCCTTCGTTGCTGCAAGCCAAAGCCGCCGCCCCCTCTCGCTCCTTTTCTAGCAAGAGTTAACAAGAGTTCATGTTTGTTGTATAAACAGAAAAACTAAGGGACAACTTGTCAAATGTTGGCTCTCCTTGTTCACTTCCTCCTGCTCCAGAACTCCCCATACCAAGAATTTTTAAAACAAAGCTTTGAAAGTGCAAAACTGGTTTTCAGAGGGTTTTGTTTGGGTTTTTTTTTTTTTTAAAAGCTGGCATATCCCCTTTTACAAGTGTATTCTGTAGCACCATGTGTATTTACCTAAACATTTCTGCTTTTTTATGTTCTCTTTACAGCCATCTGTCTGTCTGGATGCACTGAGCAGAATGGATATTGCAACAAGCCTGGAGAGTGCATGTGAGTAGATGGCAATTGCAATCTGAACTTCAGTTAAAATGTCACCTTGTAACAGAAACTTAAACTCTTTTCCATGTCATTAATGTTTTAATTTGACTTTTCTCTTAGCTGTCGTCCCGGATGGCAAGGCCGCTACTGCGATGAGTGCATTCCCCACATAGGCTGCCGCCACGGGACTTGTAAAACGCAGTGGCAGTGCATATGTGACGAAGGATGGGGTGGCCTCTTCTGTGACCAAGGTTAGTTCTGAAGACTGTGCCTGTGGCTCTAGAACGGGTATTCCTCAGTACTGGACTGAGGAATGTGACCCATCAGATCTAGCGTTACGTTTCCGCAAGGTAGATGTTCATAGGCGTCGCTGTGTACCGCAGCTGTCTCACGCACCGGTATATGTCGTAATTGCGGGTTGAAAACAAGCAAACCTTTTTGGTACCTGCAGTTTTTCTCCTGGAAAAAAACAGCCACTACCTGCATGAATGTTGAACAGGCAATTTTTCTGCCTGCTCAAGCTAAGTTTAACTTATTCCCTGTACAACTATAACAATTTACTAAACAGTTTCCAGCAGCAGTAAACACCATCGTTTGGGCCTTCCTTATTTTGCATACAAGGAAGTTAACTCATGTGATAAGTCTGGAGCATGAGAGAAAAATCATGTAAGCAAGAATGAAAAGTACAGGTTCCATTTTAAGGTACACCAGACCACTTCCACCTATTCAACCCATTGAATCACTGAACCGTAGCCAGCTGAGCAGTCATGTCCTCAAGGCCATATATGTGCTGCTGGCACTGAGATCATTCAGTGCTCAAAGCAAGCTAAGTGTTTTCAAGACAGTTATAGGATTGAGATGGCAAAGTCGGAATTAAGCAGGAAAAGTAAAGTTGCGGATTTTTTCCTCTGCTGGTAGTTATCTATTAACCAGTTGTATTCCAATTACTCTATGGTATTTATAGAGATAATAAAGATTTTCCACTTATGCCCTATGAACTTGTGTGCTTAACCTCTGCTTCAATTTTAAAGGCCAAAAAAAAAAAAAAGGACCGTCAAGCTTGGGAGAGCATTTAGACAGTTTAAACTACTAACGTTCGTAACAAGAGAGCGTGGTAAAGAAACAATAAAAGATTTCTAGCACTTGTTTAAATCTGCAAGCCAAAACATCTTTATTTCCTCACTGCCTCCCCAGAACGGGCCTCAGAGCACACCTTTTAAAGATGGGGCTTGCTGTTTTAGTATGCGACATGTGCACCAAGTGTCTATAGTGCCGTGGCGTGTCTTTCGGAGAACGCTCACTTAGGAAGCACGTTTTCTAACTTGGCATCTAAATTCCATTGTGGCTGATGGGTGTATGCACACAAAAAAGGGAGAGTATACCAAAGCACTAAGAAAGTTAAATTTTTGCCAGGTCTCTCAAAATTCAGAGCTTATGTATTACAGCGATGGTCGCAGAGAAATATCTAAAGTCGATGATAATGTGAAACACGTGATTATTACTGATAATAACCTGGATAATCATCTCCACTATTCCTACTGATCGCAAAATGAAACACTTCATTGCAAGTTCTGTCTTTTCTGTTGACTGAAGTGCGTTTGTATGAATGTCTTTTCTCAGCTGTCAAAGACGTTTTCTCTAACTCCTAGTATCTTTGCAGATCTGAACTACTGCACTCACCACAGACCATGCAAAAACGGAGCAACGTGCATGAACACTGGCCAGGGCAGCTATACGTGTTCATGCAAACCCGGCTTTACCGGCGTTGACTGCGAACATGAGATCAGCGAGTGTGACAGCAATCCCTGTAGGAATGGTGGTAGTTGCACGGTAAGGGCATTTTAAATGTAAAGTCTTTGTGTGAAGCAAGCCCCAGTATACCTTTTCAGAGATAGTTCTGTAACAACATAATGGGAATTCGATAGTACACAGGTTCATTACCGACGCTCACAACTATCATACTGAACCCTTCCCAAGAGGTGTCAGGGGAGGAAGTCTGTTACAGGAGGAGATGTATCATCTAGATTAGAACTGGTCAACTGATCCTTAGGTTTCTGTGGCAGCCATTATGAGAGCTTGGCAAGATCCAAGGTTGGTGAGGGAGCAGATCTGTTAAAAATAAGCTTCTCAAACCAAGGTTCATACAGAAATGCGCTGTCTGTATTTTAACAGCAAGTGAAAGAAAACTTCTGCTTTCTGCTATGGGAATGTAGTGTCAGACAATATGAGGACAATCAGCTGAAACACTTTCTGTGAAACAGGGTTCTGCATTTTTAGTTTCCTGCAGTCTAGCAGTTCAGCATGCTTTTTCACCCAGTCAGTGATTGAGTCTACCTGTTGATAAAGACTGATCAATTATAGATATCAAACGTAATCTAATGCGTGTTTAGATTAAAGCCAATGGCGCAAGACCCTAGCTCCCTTCTCCCAAGGCCTTAGGCATACAGTACTTGGAAAGAAGAAACAGTTTTGTTGTGATCTAAGTGGTGGGACTTATCCATGGCAAAGCAACATAAGCCCTCGTAAGGAAAAAAAGGGCACTCGTGCCAAGGATAAGTGGCCTGATCACCACTGTGTAGGTCGACACAAGCCATTCTGCTCTGGAAGGACCTTGGGGATCCCATTAGACAGCAGAGCTGTTAGTAATGTTTTTGCCTAGCTGCCTGTAGGCTCCCTGCAACTGCATCTGTTCTGCGTGTGTAGCTGCATGATTGCTCCTACACGCCGAGTACGGCTGATTCACAGCTCTATCCCTCACAGTCCAGCCTGCAGTTCTTTACTCTCCAAATGTCGCTTTTGCCACATCAGAGTGCGGATGAAAAGGGACTGAACAGCGCTTGCTGCCGACCAAAAAGAAGCGCGCAAGCAGCTGTCGTTCGGTGCCATCAAATAACAGTGGCCTAATGTGTTTTGCAGGATATGGAGAACGGTTATCACTGCCTCTGCCCCCCTGGCTACTATGGCACTCACTGTGAGCACAGCGCTTTGACGTGTATCGATTCTCCATGCTTCAATGGTGGCACGTGCTTGGAAAAAGAACAAGGGGCCAGCTACACTTGCGTTTGCCCTTTCGGCTTCACAGGGTCAAACTGTGAAAAAAAAGTAGACAGGTGCACGAGCAACCCGTGTGCAAACGGTGAGTCTTTTTAAAAATCTCGTGTCTCTGACTCATTTGTGCTTTTCAGTGCAGAAGTGATAGAAATCCAATCTGACCTATACTCTTCCGCTAATACATCAGTCCCTCTCCCCCACAGTATTCCACATCTACCCTAATTTTAGTCTCTTGCTGGGGGTGTGTGTGTGTGTGTGTGTGTGCTTTCACTGTCATTTTCTATGCAACAGAACAATGCAAAAGGTTTATCATGTGATGGGGAAGATGGCAGAATTAAGTAAATTAAATGAGCTTTATTATGTCTTTAGAAGAGGCATATTTTTAAGGCATGGTGGTACAATTAGGTAGACTAGAAGGAACTGTTAGACATGCGGTTGTTTCGTAAAATAACCTCCCTCTTCTTGAGATAGTACAAAATGCTAATCGGGGAGAGGCTTAGGTTTCCAAATGAAGTGCATTGCAGGCTAATTTTTTTTTTTATTTCACTTTTTTTCCCTCAGATGGTAATTGCTTTTACCTTGGTCAGATTCGTGTGTGTCGTTGTCGGGCTGGTTTCTCTGGTCAGAAGTGTGAGATAAACATCAATGATTGTGCCAGAAACCCGTGTTCCAATGGGGGAACTTGTCACGACCTGATCAACGACTACACCTGCACGTGCTTGCCAGGCTACAGTGGCAGGAACTGTGACATCAAAACCAGAGATGAATGTGCTTCTGGGCCATGTGAGAACGGAGGCACATGCTACAGCGGGCTTTATAGTGCCAACTTTGTCTGCTACTGTCCTTCTGGTTTCATGGGCAACCGCTGCGAATTGCCAGTTTATCCAGTGCCCGTGACACTTCCTCCTAAACCAGTCCCGTGGATTGCTATATCCATGGGGGTGGGACTGGTGGCTTTGCTCATACTGTTCTGCATGATAGCAATGGTCATCAGGCAGATGAGGATGCACCCGGAGCAGGACTTGGAGACAATGAACAACCTGTCTGACTTCCAGAAGGACAATCTCATTCCAGCTTCCCAGCTCAAAAACACCAATAAAAATAAAGACCTTGAAGTGGACTGTGGGCTGGAGAAATCAAACTACAAACCCAAGAATCATAAACTGGACTACAATCTGGTAAAAGACCTGACAAGTAGAGGGGCACAGGAAGAGAAATACTACAAAAGTGAAAAGTGTTTAGGAGAAAAGTCTCCCCTCCGACTACACAGGTGAGAATGCAGTCTTCCTTCTAGTCTTTCTTAAGGCCCCTCATCTTCATTATCTGTCTAGAAGCAGATAAGAAAATACGGGGGGGAAAAAAGAAACCTCGAACACATAATATACAAACCAAACGAGGACAAAGCCAGGAATCTTCATGCTGGAGTATGCGTGTCTCGGCCGAGTGGTATCCTTAGCTAGGTCAATTAAATCAAGTGTGCGTGGAGGGAGCTGTTAGTATGGGTACTGTGAAGGGGAACAGGAGCGGCGAGGTCAGTGGTGAAAGTAAGAAGTGTCTTTCCTTCCTCAGTTGATCTTGGAGGAACAACAGTTAAGGCATACAGTGATTAAAAATAAGTATCTTGCTTACTAAGAAGGCAAAATGATCTGCTTACTGAGAAGAACGATAAGAGTAAAAATAACTACTCTTTTTCAAAAAAAGAAAAGGGCGGGTATTCACTGGCTCATCGGTCTTCTGATATATGTACTGAAAGTCTTGCTGGGAACTGCTTGTGGCCATTACATGGAGGGATCCGAGGAGACCGCTATTAGGTTGGACGTGGCAGAAGCATGGGAAGGCAGTAGCTACTCCTTACTTCCACTTTTCTAATGCAGTGTCCTGCCATCATAAGAACATGTGAAACTTCATCCTCTGCACTTCCCTCCCACACCTTCACGGCTATCTCATTCCACCCCTCCATATTCATGATAGATTTTGAGAGTCAGGCTTGTTATCAGTCAACTAACGTTCTTTTCTCTCTGCCCTGCCTTAGTGAAAAGCCAGAATGTAGGATATCAGCGATATGCTCTCCGAGGGATTCAATGTACCAGTCCGTCTTTGTGATAACAGAAGAAAGGAACGAGTGCATCATAGCCACAGAGGTAAGTACACAGGTGGACAGGCATAAATTCACAAAGTAAAGGGGTGAATTATCCTTCAGAATTGCATCTGAGAGGGTTACTCTTATTTCCAGGGACCATGATGCTTCCCAGTATTCACCTCTTCTGTGGCCCACGCAGAACATACAGTGGGAAAAATAAAGTAGCATCTCTGACTTTATTAAACCAGAGACTTTGAGCTTAGATAAGTCAGTGGGAGATGAAAGCACAGAACATCAGCCCACAAAAATTCAGCACACTGTAGGATTATTTCCTCTTAAATAGGTAGTCAGCAAAAATGGAAATAATAATCATTCATGGGCCCATTAATGTAAGCCATGTTTTTTCCTATGAGTACAATGGATAGTCTGTGTTCTGTGGGAACAGGCAAAGCTATAGATTTCCAGCAGAAGATGGAAGGCAGCTGAGTGTGTTAGTGGATAGGGATAACAGCCATTTAGGAAGTCTGTAATAAGGTAATCTCAGCCTCTTGGCGTTTAAGCTCCGGCTGGATATTCTCTAACAGAAGTTAACGCTGTTATTGATAAACACACCTAGATTTTGATGTTATATTGAAAAGTCAGAGGACAGATATACAAAAAAGGAAGGGAACTTCAAAGACTTTAAAAAGCAGCTGTTGAAGAACAAATCAGTTCCTGAGGAATTACTGACCCTTTGGAAAAAGGCTCAATGGAAGTTAAAGGCAATGTGACATTAACCGGCGCCCACCTTCTTCCAAGTAGCCACCTGTAGGACTAGTTTCAGACTCCAGGAAAAAGAAGCTTGCTGTGCCTTATAGCAGTGATCTGCGAAGCCAGATCTGTGGGATTCTGTCTCCCTTGCCAGGGTGGATATCAGATTTCCTCCTGAAGGCAAGCTGGAACACAAGTCAACCAACAATATTAAAAGTTTAAGTGAAAGCATTTTCAAAGATACAGATGACAGCTTAGACGCTTCATTGCCCTTAACTGACCCAAATGCCATATCTTCCTTTGAAGATCTTGCTGACCGTAGCTCGACTCCCAGATTTACATCAGGCATCTCCAGAAGTGTTTTTGTTTTCAGAATGACAGTCCCTGAAACCTCTCTCCACATCGTTCAGGCTTAATGCTTCCAAACACAAGCTATTTAACGATACCTCTTTTTACAGAGACCTAATGTTAAGCACCCAGATTTGTAAGGGTTCTTCCCCTCAGTCCAGATAGAGAGGCTACTCATCATACAAATGACCTTTTTTTGCTGGTGATTCTTTGTCTCTGGACACAGCCAAAACCACAGAACGCTGATCGTTAAACTGCAGTAATGTCTGGTTTAAACCGCTTTGGTCTGATGCACTTGAATCACAATTTGTTAGTTCTGCCGTACTCTGCGTGCTGTGCTTCCTTCTCATTCCTGGTATTATTTTACATCCTGACAGGTATAAGACTGAAGATCAGCCCATTTGCACCTCAGATTTGGTAATGCCAGTAGATGGACGTTCCTGCTGCATTGTTTACAATTCAGAACTGGATTGGACTGTTTTTAATTACATGCAACTTGCTGCTCTCAGGCGGAGGATGGAACTGGGTGAACTGGACAGACTGTGAATTTACTGAAAGATGCAATACGCCTTTTTGTTCTTACTGCCCGTATTGGAAGTTTGATACCAGAAATCTCATTGGCTAGAGAAGAGGGGAGGCAGAGGGAAGAGGGAGGGGTTAAAATGTTGTTTTAATTTGTTTTTAAAAGATGCTGAGGCCAGTTCCTCATGGACAGACCCCTGGCTTTCCAGAACTCTGGGTATGGGAGGTGCCGGGAGATGAGGAGGCACTTAACTGTCACAGATGTTGCCATGGAAGGTGTGAAGAAAGACACAGTGCTATGCAGATAATGGATACAGTGTAAAAGAGGTCTCAATTTTTTTTTCTGGGTTTAAAAGTGCCTAAAATATGTCGAGAATCTCACAAGCCCAAACAGAGACTTGACTGCTCTTTTTGCAGTTGCCTGAACAGTCTTGGGCAGGGGTGGTTGATAACGTCCTGCTCTAGAGCTATCTGCCTCTCCTCTGTCCTCCTGCATGTGCTGGAGACTGTATAAGGGGCGAGAGGAGGAAGGGAAGAGGGATACCAAATTTACATGTCATCTCATTTGGTGATGCTTTGGAGAAATGATTGACCCAAGCCACGATATGGGACGGGATTTTTCTGGATTTAAACATTTGAGAAGGAGAAGTTGTGATAAGGAATGGGTACTGCCTCTTCGCCACTGATAAGGAGGAGGTGTGATCCCAGCTCTATTTAAAGCCTTACAAATGCGTTTAAAATCAATCAGCTCCTAGAACCTTGATGTGCTGAGCTGTCTCAGCTGTTTTCATGCCCTTTGCACTACCAGTGATTGTGAATAGACATTACTTTTTTCTTCTCCTTCCTCATTCTCTCCCCCCGCCTTATTTCAACACAAATTTGGGGGGTTACATTGTGTTTCTGAATTAGGTGCCACCTTCTACTGCAAATATAGTCTCGAAATTGCAGCTGTTACTTTCTGAAGGGGAAGCAGCAGTGTGACCCCCACACACACACTTTCTCCAGCTGGTTGCAAAACTCCAACTCCTGTCCTTCGTCCCAGTTCCAGACGCCCAAAAGTGAAGCACCCACTGAGACACCCCCTGCAAAGACAGGTGGCAATTAGAGTGAGAAGGTTCTAGGCTGGCCCTGTTTCTTTCATACCCACCCACAGCTGCACAGGAAAGGGGAAGCCTGCCCCTGGAAACCAGAGGCGCGTGGAAGCTCTCTCCTTGCACACATCTTTACAGCAATAATACTGGACACCCCCGTGGAAAGTGCTGGGACACTTAATGAAATGAGAGCATGGGGTGGGGCAGAATGAGGAGGGAGGAAACAAGATCTCTTCGAAGAAACCTGGACCGTGCGATCTCTAGGGCAGCGATATTCCTGCCCTCGTAAATCCTGTTGTTGGAGTAGCCCATCTACTGCCTTGAACTGTGCAGACAAGACCCCTTCATGATGTCCACTACTGACCTTCTGCTCTGACCACGTAGGACCATTTTGAAGATGACCTTCAGAAATCAATAATATGGGTTTTAGTTTGTCTGTTTGTAGTTTATTTTGAAGACTAGTATTTCAGTAATTTAAAAAAAAATCAGAAGCACTGAACTTTCTACGTTTTATAACATTATTTTGTATATAATGTATATTTATAATCAAAACAGAAGTGTAAATATGTTTATTACTTCTCATGTAATGTTTTTAATGTGATGACAAAGTTTGAATTTTATTTTTTTTTTCAAGCAATGAAAATACTTTCCTGCTACTGCGAAGTTTACTGTGGTTTGTCCTTTGACACTTCAGGTTCTGTGATTCTGTGGCAGCCGTGGTGACCTGGAGCCCCAGAAGTAAGCGCGACTGCCTGTTCCCTGCAGTCAGCCCTACGTTTCCATTTTGCACACCGACTGCTGTCAGCAGCTTTTATAACCATTAACTGATGTCAACAAAGTTGTTCAGCTGAGCGGCACTCATCTGACAGGAAAGTTAGGCATGTTTATATTGTGTGACATTACATAATATTTAAATTATATACACACATATATATTCTGCTATGGAGTTGGACTGAACTGTCAGAAAGTTATTTTTATTAACGCTTCCCTCTTCTGCTTCCTTGACAACTTGTGGAATGGAAGGTGCAGATTTAATACCATTTCAGAGTGGCTGGTGGCTTAATCAACATGCTGGCTTGGGGCTCACTTGCAGAACAAATACCATTACTATTTTTTTTCAAATCTCATTTCTTTAAATACTTTCAGAAAATTCCCTACTCGCGTTACTCTCGCGCAGCATCTCCATCTACACCTGCAAGACCGTATCCTTGATCGTGATGGGTAAGATTTGTCTTTCACTCGGGGGATTAGGGGGAGTTTCAGGCTTTCTCCTCCCGAGCTCCCTATGCTATAACAGCAGCCGTGTCCTCCCAGGGCATCACAAAGTCCTTCTCCTCCACAGCCCTTTCAGAAGATGCTGCCCCTCCCTTCCAAAAAAAAAAAAAAAAAAAAAAGTGTAAAAAGCACACTTGTACAAAACACCCCCAGCAGGTTTAGTAGCCTTTGAAGCCTGCACATTTACAGACTCTCAGTGCATCAGCTAGGTGCGGCACAGCCAACATCTGAATGCACAAAAGCTGTAAGAACAGGAAACCGCTGCTACTCTATTTTAAAACCAGACTTTGTTGTGGTTGTTGTTGTTGACAAAATGCCAAAAAAGCATCTTGGTGTTGGATGCCTTTCCCATCTTTCCCCAAACCAAAATCTAACCAAAATTTGCTAGTTTTTTAAAAAAAGACAGAACAAAAGAAACCCCACTAGTGTTAAAAAAGCATGATAACAAATTATTTTACTTTGTCATTAAACTACTGCAAATAAGAGTTTCTAAGGGTCCTGCTGAGTGTATTATTAAGGTTACATAAATACTATTTACTTTGGATGGTTTTGTTTCTCCCTCTTCAGTTCTTTTCTTAGCGAAATTAACTTTCAAATCCCAGCCAATTTCCCTGGCTACCATAAAAATACATTTAAGATGAAACTCAGAAATAAAAAGCCTCCTCCCCCTCCCCAAACATTCACCCTGTAGAGCAAATTATGAAAAACAAGCCATTGACAAAAAGCCGAGCAGATGCTCCCTGCTTGCAGTCCTTCCTCGGCAATGTGAAATAAACCCAACAGATGCCTCTCTTAATTGAGCACATGGATTACATACACACATGCACTCTGTCCTGCTTAAAACAAAACACACACAAAAATCAAACAGGAAAATAGCCAGAGAACTCTTCCCAAAGCCGAGGCAAGCAGGGATGCTAAGACCAAAAAAGACTCAGCTCTTCCTGCTCAAAACGAGACAGGAAACCATATCCGTAGACAGAAGGGAGTTGAAATCCATTAAAACCCGCAGACCTGATTATGTAGATCCCACAGGGTAAAGCAGGTACAACACATGCCTTTGTGTATCCACACAGGAGAGAGGAAAGAAAAAAAAAAAGCATCAGCTTACAAGGAAATCTGTGAATATTTACTGGAGGCAGTACCGCAATACGCAGCTACCAGAATAGATCACAGATCCCACACAGGAAAAACAGGAGCGGTGCCTGCTTCCACACAGGAGGAGATGGAAAGCATATGTGCATCTATGCACGTGTGCACATCCCCAAGCCCTTGCCAAAACAACTACAAGCAGATTAGCTGAACACATAATATGACCTGGATTTAACCCACATCTTTGGCCAAAAATTTCCTTGCCCCAGGGCTGCTGTGCGCTGACTGCTCACCAGCCTGCCCCACCACGTGAGTCCACCTCAGAGCCACGGCGTACAAACTCACTAGGAGGAGCTCTGAGATTCTTCTGGGCTGTAAAGACTCAACCTGAATTTCAGATTCCTCTTGAGGACCACAGATGATGCCAGGACCGTAAATGTCCCGACGAGGAGTGCCTTTTCTCTTAACAAGCTTACAGAGGTCCCAGATAAAACTCCACAGCTAACTTCCCTCAGCATACTCTGCACCAGCTATGGCAAGATCACGGATTTGGCTCGAGGACTGCGCCTAAACTTGGCTTTCCGTTTCAAAACACTGCGCCAATTCACTTAAGAGCAATGTGACAAAACAACAATTTTAAGAATGGATTCCTGCCTCCAAGAAACTCTTTGGTGTTTCCTTGCATTAGCACCTGATAGAAACTGTTCCACAGCCACGCAGAGCCTTTCAGTCTAAACAACTGCAGAGCTGGGCTGAGTGAGAGGGGTGCTGCTCTGCGCAGCGCTTCACTTCACTTGAGTTGTTCTGTGCTCCGCTCCAGCCCTTCATCGTTCACCTCTTTAAACTGTCTGCTGATTAGGGGAAACAGATGCCAGGATATACCCATAACTATAGCACCCACTGGTGCCGAGACAACACGCCGCAGGACGCCATGCAAATACAGCACAGGGCACGGAGTTCAGCTAGGTGAGTGTAGATGAGGGATGCCTTGTAGAAATTAGGCTTGATACAAGGCACGCCTAAAATAGGATAAAACACAGAATGTGGTTTATTGTGCACAATACTTGTCCAGCAACAGCTCTCAGGCTTTAAAGGGCTGCCGAGAAAGCCTAAATTAGTTATTCTGCAATTGCAACCATCTAGCCCGACACACAAAACCATCTCTGTAAAAAAGCATCTCAAGTACTTTCATCGCCCCTCAGCCTTTTTTCATTAGTGCATGCTAAAATGAGAAAGGCACAGCGGGTCACTAACAAACCTGTACTCTAAGTGGCTTAAGCGACAGTTACATATCTATGCTTGCCTGTTGTTCCCTTGTGTCACCTACCTGACCCATCCATACATACTGATTTCACACAGTAGATACAACACCCCCAGCACATTTTGCTCACAATCCAAACTCCAGTTGTGGAGAAGTGACATAACTCAGTGGCCCTCTGCCGTGCTTCACTATTTTCATAACTTCAATTTTATGGCCTCTATGGAGAGTCAACATCAAGATTCCCTCACCGACACGCACCCCTCCACACACTCTCTGTTTTGCCAGCTCAGCTCCCAGAGCTTGCAGGTAGTGACCCTGTTGGCCAGTGACACCCAAAGCAGTGAGATTTCTCCTTGATCACTCTTGCGCCTGCTCTAACCCTGCCTGCTCTGCTCTCAGACCTCGTCTGGGCAACACCGTGACTCAGCACCATAAAACTACCCTTTCTTTTTCTCCTCCCTCCGCTTGTCTTATCACCACCGCCCTCCTCACTCCTTTCCCCCGTGCAGCTTTGGGGCATATTTCTGCAGCATGTGGGTCTATCACGCCACAGGGTTAGGATGGAACTCTCTGATTCACCAGGTAAATGATTGTGTACAGAGCAATAATTTCAGGCACTAGAGCAATTGTTCCATGCACAGTATTTGATTCTGGAGACCTTCTTCCCTTCCCTTTTAAATCTTGATGGGAGACCATCACCTTTCCAGAGGTGCTCCCCTCCCTGCAGACAGATCAGCCGTCCTCTCCAATGAGCTGTTCCACCCCTGGGAGATGCAAGGGGAAAGAGAGACCATGCTGATCTGCTTACAAGGCTCACCCAGCAGTCACTGCCACCCAGAGGTCTTCGCTGCCTTCCAGCACCCCTCCACACATGTCCCTGAGAGCCTTGGTGGTGACAGGCTATGTGCAGCTCTCCAGGCTGCAGGACGGCACCCCTGGGCAGGAAGAAGAGCAGGTAAAGTTTAAAACTGCAGGGCATGGAGTGGATTGGAAAATAGCTCCTGCTTCCCAAAGTCTCCATCTCATTGTCAGCAATGGACTTGCCTCTCACATAGGTTGCAGTGTCATACGTAACTACCATAGAAGGGCTCAATCCTTCCTCATTTCCTCTGCGAGCACAGCGTCTTTTCTCCTGCCAGCCAAGATGGAGACAGCACTCAGACTCCATCTATCCCTCCAGCCAACCCACCCTGCAGGCTGCTCTGCATGAAGACCAGGTCATTCCCAGGAAGAGTCCCGAGGTGCAAAACAGCACCTTGTTCATAGTCACATTTTGCAACTACACAGATAAATGAGGAAAGCATGCAGTTTGAGGAGAGGCTGTTTGGTGATGGCATCTTTTATCTGTGCTTTATGACTTTTTTTGTTGAGTTGTTGCTGGCTTCATGGCGGTTTTGTGGATCACTTTTTTAACTAACTGCCTAGAATGTCAAAGAGGCGCCATGTTTGTTTTTATAAATGAGATTAAACCAACTCGTATTTAACATCCAAACAGATCTGCTGAGAGTTAGGTTTCTAGCTGGGTAGGCCATCACCAGCCAGAGCAGGATTCAACCGTTCCTGGTGCCATGCAAGAGCTCTGATGATCCCTGTGCTTGGGCACACACCTCCCATGACGGTTTGTGAGCAGGGTCAAAATTCCTGGTGCAAATAAGAATCACTACGCATTTGAAGTTCCTTTTCTATTAACACTGTTTAATATTTCCTTTACATTTTCTGCTTTGGCAGAAAAAGCCAAAGCATTGCCAAAGCATTTTTGTTCCTGTCCATAAACTCATTTTTTCTCTGGAAGTTTGTCAGCAAAGAAACACAAGACAATCTGAACAAAATATATTGGGGCGAGGGGGGGAACCCACACAAGATAAAAGTTTGATAATTACAAAAGATATGGCCCTGCTCTAATCCCCTCTTTCAATTCAGCCCACCAGGTCCTGGTGTTAGCTTCTTCATCAAAAGCTTCTCTTCCTCTCACATCTCCTTATAGCACAGAGGCTCTTTTCTGCCTCCAGACCCCCTCCCTTCATGGAGATTACACCGATTTTCACTCTATTCATGGTATTTACGTTTGTCACAAGTTGCTTAGAAGGAGGTTTTTGAAGTTCTCCAAAACTCTAGATACAACTCACAATGCGGAGACAGCGTTCACTTACACCCTAGGAACAGGAAGAAATGCCGACATGCTTATAATTACAAAAAGCTCCTTTTTCATGGGGACAGCATGGTTAAGAAGCGCTTAGATCAGATACACATTTTTCATACATGGGGAGGAAGAATTTCCTCGCTGTCCCGTCAGTTGGTCCATAATATGCTCTCAGTCATCTTCAGCAGACACGGGTTCATCTCACCTCACCACAGCCACCCAAGCATGAAGCGTCTAGTTTAAGCCAACCGTGCAGCTTACCTAGGGTTCACAGAGAAAAGTAGACCCTTCCAGCATTTTCCCCTGGCGAGGCATCTGAAACAACTGGGAGTGAAGGGTGACTCTTGGAAGTGTCAACACCATTAACTGAAACCTGATGGCTACCTTTAAGAGGGTTGGGGCTGTGCAAGAGGCATCCTTAGGCGTGAATTTGAGGAGCAGGCAACGCTTCTCTGAAGGGAGCAGGGTGCGGACACTTAACCCCTACATATCTTCCCTTTCAACAGCTGCCGGTTCCCCTCTCCAAGATGGAGTTGTTAACGCTAAGGCGACTCAGAAGGATGTTGTGAAGACTCATTCACATCCTTCAGACTCCACGCGGCTGCGGAAGTGCAAATAAGCCTTTACCAGTCTCGTCTTATTGTTTAAATAGCCGCTCAGTGTACACAGCATCTGGGCAAACCAAAGGGCAGTACGCAGGCGCGCGGAGGCAGACACTGCTCCCGCCACCTCCCCTCATGGCGCAGGAGCGCTTTCCTTGAGTTTGAGCCCAAACTGGCCGCGGTGTGCTGCCATCATCGCTTCCTGTTTGTTACCTCACGACACCGTTTCCTGTTTCCTGCCTGATTACAACTGTGCCAACTGTTTTTCCCAAGCCTGAACCAGCTTCCCAGCACCCTCCTTTTCAGCTCACAGAAAAATACCACCATCGACAGCGGCCTGGTGGCGGGGGGTGCTGCTGGCTGCAGTGTGAAGCACAGAGCCCTCTCCCCCCTCCAGCAACTTCCCTCTCCCTGCCCGCTTGGGCACCCGGTCCCAGGCTACAGAAGCGAGTCTCACACATCCCATAAAGTGGGAGAGAAAGAAATGAGGTGCTGGTAACTCCCTGGGTTTGCTTGCGAACAAGTGCAAGGCAGCAAGATGCCCACGAGGTGTCCAGGTGAGCTGGGCCCCGAAGGTGGTGATCGGAGGGACTCGCAGGGCTCATCTCTTCAGGCACCCTGCATGTCACAGGGCTTTCTGTTTACTCAGCAATGTGGTACTGAGCTGGCTAAAGCAAATGCTGTGGGAAAGCACAATAAGGCATAGAAGTACAGGGGATTAATGCGGTCCCCAGTTGCCAGTCTCAGTGGTTCATCACCCCCATGGTAGAAACGCTTCCACTTCCATAGCTGAATTTGCTTTCACCATCCAGATGGTTCTGGTTATGCCTTTCTCCACTCTATTTAGGGCCTTTTAGCGTATGGTATTTTCTCTCTGTAGCTGTCATCAAATTATGTTCCCAGTCCTGTTTCGGTACCTGAGCCCCTTCAATCTCTCTCAGAAGAGAGAGTCACCTCACGCTGAGCTGAGCTCCCTGGCTCGGGTGAGCAGAGCACCTGCCCTCCCACTACTCTCTACGCTCTTGTTTAAGCACCCAAGGTCCACGTGGACCCCAGAAGGGGTCCCTTCCCCAAACCGCTGGAGGACTGCTGTCTTCTCGCCAATCGCCTGATGCTGTACCTGAAGTCCCAACAGGATCCTGGAGATCTCTCAGAGACAGGGAGCAGCCCTACAGGCTGGCAGAAAGCAAACACTCTGCAAGTTCTGATTTTTAAGAGGCTGGGGAGCAGGGACACACAGGAGAGCAACCTGCACTTAACACCAGTTCACACTAAAGCAGAGAGGAGCCTCCTAGGAGCTGCTGTGTAGCTCTGGTCTGTGCCTTTGCCTGCTCTCCTGCAGGCACAGCAGCAGTGACCTCTCACAACCGGATTAAGGGAATCCTCTCTAGCATCCAGTACCCAGTTCAGGGCCCAATCCAGCTAATACGTATTACCAGTTACTTACTGTGTCAGGTCACCACCTTTCAAATATGAAGAAAATTAAATAGCTTTTGCAAATATACACCAGAGGCATGTGCCCATTTCAGCTTAGCAAAATGCCAGTGAGGCGGTGAGCTGGCACTTTACTTCCTCACATCTCACCTACTGGAGGCAAAAAAAAAGCAGCACCCCTGTTCCTTCACCTTTTGCCTGCCCCGTCTATTTAACCTGTAAACTACTTGCGGAAGGAACTGTCCTTTGCTGCGGCTTTCGTAATATTCAGGTGCTTCTGAGACACAGCACAGGAAAGACCCTGGACATCCTGAACTGCAGAATGAAGATATCAAAGTGACAATAAAGGATCTACAACAACAACAACAAAAAAAGCAAGCTGATTTTCCTAACTGACCCTAAACGAACGTGACATATGCATGCTTTGAACTAGCTGTTTTCCGACTAAAGCACAGGGAAATAAGACTGCACTGCTACTAGTGGTCTGACTGCAGTGCAAAGCTTTACGGCTATTCCATTTGCGCCCTGCTGTCAGACACCTGAGCAGGCGATGGTAGCACGGCATTTCTGTACACTAACTTCATTAGCGACTGTCCCACCATGAGTAACTGTGGGGCAGGCTGCTGGGAACAGGCTGGAGAGGAACAGCTCGTACCACGCAAATCCAAACTGGCAGCACGTGGGAGCGGCGAGAGCTCTGGTGTTGAAGGAGCTCTTCACCACGTACCAGCTATCACACTCGTGTTTCATCTTTGGAAAGCCGAGTACGTTCATCTGTGCCAGAGGGCAGGGAGAGCAGCGGGAAAAGGGAGGGTGTATTTGCACCACTTCCAAAAGCCTTACACGTGCACGTGCACAGGCAGTCTCCCATTCTCCCCTCTTCAGGAGGGAGAAGTACAGCATCCCTGACCAGCCCTGGTTAGCCAGTAGAGGTCTGTAGAGTAGTTGCAGCCTGAGACTGCAGCTGGGAGGCTGCGAAGGCTCAGGGTAGGTGGCAGACCATGTCTGCCTGTCACAAGAGGCACCTTAACTGAGTAGAGCTTGTGAGGTGTCTCATAACCGAGGACGCAGCGGTGCCCTGTCACTGGTTAACAGGGAATAGAGTGGTGGGGCTAACAGAGAGTAAAATACCCTGTGCCGCATGGCCGCAGGCACGTACTGTTGCTGTGAGCAAGATTTGTGGCTGCAGGGATAGCTTAGTAACATTAGGAGTACAGGTGCATCATTGCACAGATTGAAGACGCCTGGCCAAAGTGATTTTTTTTACAGAGTTAGAAAGTTTTGCACAGCTCTGGGAGCAGAATGGTAATGAGAAGCCCACATCACTATGCACTGAGGCATTGCAAAACACCGTCTGCAAGGACAGTTGCCAGGTTGGTGTCACGGGAAGAGGATGTGCGGCACCAAAACCCATGTTACAGTACAAACAAGGTATCAGGACAGGCCCCTGCAGCCGAGGGGAGGCAACTCGTGCATTTTCAATGAGACTAAAAGCTAATGCCCTCTCCCAAAGCTGTAAGAGATGAAACAAACTCTATCCTTTGAGAAACCCACAGGGATTGGGGAATTCATACCCTGGCCTTCAGTGACTTACTGCTGCATGGCACACGGTGCAGCACACCAGGTAACAACGCGTGTTAATGCAGCGCCGGGCCGGGAAGGGCATCTCTCCGACAGTCACTCCTCGTGTTTCAGCTTCAGACTGCCACTCCACACAAGGAGCCTTACTGCAGAGCGGCAGACACAGGGAGAAAGCAAACAGCATCATTTCCCCTCAGT